GTGTTTAATTTAGGAGTGTATCGCCGGGAAGCTGTGAAGTCTTACAAGTCCTATGATTTCTTCAGGCACGATAACAAAGAAGCCATGGAAATCCGCAAGTAAGTCGGCGTCAGGGGACTGACGGTCCGCGGCGGTCTGGTTAGTCTCAGGTGTGGGCAGCCTCTGCGTTTGAGGAGCGTAAAACACCATTTAATGCCCGCGAAACCGGGGGAGGAGGGAGATAGCGCAGCCCGTGCAGATGATCTCTTAAGGTCCCTTCCAACCCAAGGCATTCTATGATTCTATGATCCTGCCGGAGGGGCTGTGTGTGGGAGCTTTGGCGTTAACTTTGGCCTGGCGCAAAGAACGGGGGCTGCGAACGCCCGGCGGTGAATGAAATGTGGAGCAAGTTGTAGATACAGATGCCTTATGATCTCTGCAGAGCCTCCAGGGCTCTTGGGAAGATGCAGGGGTGGGTGCCCCATGGGCAGAGGGGGAAGGCGTTTAAATCTCTCCCCCGTGGCTCAGCGGCCTTGCCGTCTGAATTCTTCACGTCCGCTCTGAGAAGACCTATTTCTCTCTTGCAGACAGTGTGCCTTAGTGGCTCTAGAAGACGTGAAGGCTTATCTCTTGGAGGAGTGCGGGCAAATAGCTGTAAGACTTCTCTGGACTAAATATGGTTTTACATCTGGGTAGTTCAAAGCTGCCCAGGGCATTTGGGGACCTGACTGGAATCCCAAATGATTTGGGGCTGGTTTGAAAGTCTTAGATAAAATTGCTTATTGTTACTTACTCATTTTCTGGTAGGTGTTTGATGCGACCAACACAACTCGAGAAAGGCGGGACCTGATCTTAAATTTTGCTAAAGAAAACGCTTTCAAGGTAGCGCTCCTGTATTTAATTTGTAGTTGGAGTTGTTGCACCGAGGGGCGTTACTGCTCGCTTGGGCAGGAGCTCTCGAGCTTTGATTCAGGGTAGAGATCCTGACTCTGAAACATGCTTCCTTGCCTTCTTCGTAGGTGTTTTTTGTGGAGTCTGTCTGTGACGATCCAGAAGTCATTGCTGCCAATATCCTGGTGCGTGCCGCATTTTCCAGGCTCAGCTGCCAGTGCTTACCGTGGGAGCTCGGTACACGGTCACCAGCTATGATATCTGCAAATGCCTTGCTCTTACGTTTCACCTTGGAAATAAGCAGCTAAGGTTTGCAGGTTTCTAAAAGCTAGAGATGCAGCTGGTTATGTGAGAACGTGGAAATCAAATGAAGCTGCGAAATGTTTGACCTTGAAGCGTGTTTTCTTGTCAGGGGAAGGCGGGCAGCGAGTAGCTTGCAGGGAGAGCTAAAAGCGAGCCGGCTGCGTCTGTCGCGGGGCCAAGCGCTACAGCGCCTTCAGAGTCGCCCTTTGTTTCCTCTCCAGGAGCAGGTTTTTCCACGGGGCAGCGTTAAACAATGCTCATTTGTTTCAAAAGGGAAGAATAACGTTATTCAGCATTGCTTTTGCTCCCTGTCGGGTTTGCTTAACTCTCACAAAGCGTCGCTGTCTGTTGATCAGGAGGTGAAAGTTTCCAGCCCCGACTACCCGGAGAGAAACAGGGAGAACGTGATGGATGATTTCCTGAAGAGGATTGAGTGCTACAAGGTCACTTACCAGCCTCTTGATCCTGACGCGTATGACAAGTAAGCAAAGCCCTGGGGTGCATTTTGTCCTTGCACACATGAGCTGCTTTGCTTTGTCGCTGCTGTTCTCTGGCTCAGGATGCTGCAACGCGTCTGCTGCAGCCTCTGCTCCCCCAAAGCGCAGTTGCTCGTGTGAAGGCGATATCCTCGGGTCCCAAGTGGTTTGAAAGGATTTTTCTCTAGTGTACTGCAGCGTAATGCCGCTCCTTGTTTAAGCACGGCAGTTCAGTGTCTCCTCTGCCTGCTGGAGCGACCCAGTGGTAGTGCTGATGCCTTTACTAGAGGTCAAATAGCTAGATTACACCCGCAGATGCACGTGCTTCATTTTTAAAACCAGTCGTGTGGGTGTTCTTATTTTATGTTGACTCCAGAGATCTTTCCTTCATTAAAGTGATCAATGTGGGACAGCGGTTCCTAGTAAACAGAGTCCAAGATTACATCCAGAGTAAAATCGTCTATTACCTAATGAACATTCATGTCCAGCCGCGTACCATCTACCTTTGCCGACATGGTGAGAGTGAATATAATCTTGTTGGCAAGATTGGTGGGGATTCTGGTCTGTCACCACGCGGGAAGCAGGTATGTGTTTGGCAGCACCCGGCTTGCTGTTATTTGTAAAGTGTTGTGTGACCAGGGTCAGAGCCGGGCTCTGCATCCGACCCCTGCGAGGGGCAGCCCCGCAGCTGGACCTTGCCGTGACAGCCACAGCCCTTGAAATGATGCTTTGACCGGCGGCGGCAGCTCCTGCTCCCTCCTCACCTCCCCTGGCTTTTTTTTCCAGTTTGCTCAGGCGCTGAAGAAGTTCATCGAGGAGCAGGAAATTGTTGATCTGAAGGTGTGGACGAGCCAGCTGAAAAGGACGATCCAGACGGCCGAGTCCCTGGGGGTCACGTACGAGCAGTGGAAGATTCTCAATGAGATCGATGCCGTGAGTGAGATGCCAGTTGAAGCCTTTAGCTTTTCTGGATGGAAAATAATGTTTAAAAATAAATTCATCAGATAAACTTGACTATTTCCCATCCGTTTATAACCATGTCCACGTATAATGTACTCCGGCCATCTTCATGAGGTTTAGGGTGGTTTGGTACAGGGCTGACAACGCCTGGAGCTGCTGGACCTTGCTGTGAACGTATCCAGCTGGTGTTGAGAAAGAAAATAATGCTGCACATGCCAGGCGTTTGTCACCCCGGCTGTAACACCATCCTGGGTGGACAAAGGTTACTGCTCCCGCTCTGATTCTTTCGGGCAGAAGAAATTGTTGGGTTGTTGCTGTGGCAATGAACGCTCGTTTTCATCCCTGGCAAACCAGGGTTTTGAAATAAAGCCAAAAGCCCATCCTTTGCAAACCACCCTGGGCGTGCAGTGCACAGACGCTGGGGGTGTGGCTGTGTCAGTTATCACACCTAAAATTTCCGTCACGCAGAGGGATTGCTGATCTCGGCCGCTTCCTCTTTCTGCATTCTTGTACCTCTGTTGAAAAGTGTGTTGTAACAAGTTCTTCTTCCCTCAGGGGGTATGTGAAGAAATGACCTATGCAGAAATTGAAGCCAAGTATCCAGATGAGTTTGCCTTGAGGGATCAAGAGAAATACCTGTATCGCTATCCTGGAGGCGAGGTGAAGACCCTTAAGAAATATCAATAAGATACAGTATACCTAAACCAAACACATATGTGTGGAATTGGAAGGTTTTACTTAATTTTAACTTTTTCTGCCAATATTAGTATGAGAAACTGAAAACGTTAGGATCCCCAGCTCTCTTTTAGAGGAAAAGTTGATTGATTTCCTTTATTGTGGTGTGCAAACGATGCCTTTCGGTCGTATTAATCGGGCCACTCGCCGAGTCCCTTGACGCTCCCCTCGCCACAGAGGGCTTTCTGCATCGTCCTCGTTTGGCCGAGGCCTGAACTGTCACTGGGAAGAACATCCTGGAAAGAAAATGACTGTGGGTGTGGTGTGGCGTAATTTCTGGTTTTACTTCACAACCTTGTTGAAATGTATAATTTACTATTTTATTTGTTTTTCTTACTGCGCTCATTAAGAGTTACCAGTTATCTGAATCCTCCTGTAATCTGAGGGTTGTTGACATTAAACTCCACCTTCTGCTGTTTGTTTTTCCCCCTGTATTTACTGGATCATCCGTAACTTCTGCATTTTGTATTTTAACTGATATTTTCCTGAATGTGAAGCTGTGCTAATTGCTACTTCTGCTTTAGGCCACTGTTTACAAAACCCCTTGAAAAATTTCTGGTTTGTTTTTCAGTCCTACCAGGACTTGGTCCAGCGCCTCGAGCCAGTAATTATGGAGCTAGAACGGCAAGGCAACGTCCTCGTTATCTCCCACCAGGCGGTTATGAGGTGCCTGTTGGCTTATTTTCTTGACAAGAGTGCAGGTACAAAAATAAACGTATGATGTTAGGGGCTGGCTTCTCTTGCTGCTTCCTTTACGGAGCTTTTGGGAGGGTGGCTTGTAATTGCTGTTTTGATTTTTCACAAGGGAAGAGCTGCTTAAAAAAGAAAAAAGGAAAACATTTCTGAAACGCTTTAACCATTGCATTTCAGCGGCGCACGGAGCTCAGCGAGAAGCTCTCTTTGGGAGAAGTGCTGGTGCGTGCGCTGCTGGCTTTCCGCTCAGCCCTTGTTGCTGGAGCTGTTTCCACCAGCAGCATTTACATAATCCCTAGGGGATTATTTTTAACGTAAAGAAAGTTTTCCGACGCATCAGTAGCCTGCGGAGGGTCGGCAGTAGCGCCGCATCCCGGCGAAACGCTGATCCCTTGCATGGCGTGCTGGCCTGGAAGCTCGTTCCGGTCTGCTGCGAGCTCCTTATGAAACTCCAGTGGGCGGTACTGGAGTTTAGTAAAGCTTCTAATCGAGTTAATAAACTTTTAAATAAAACTGCCATGGGTCCGCGGCGGCTGTCGCTGCAGCGCTT